AAGGTCCCAGGTTTGGGATAGCTGATGAGATTTCCCATATCATTTTCCCATATGACCATACCACTTTATATTTTTACAATCAACATAAGAAAGGACTCCATTCACTAAATTCCTACCAGCAATATCTGTTATCTGGTATATTTTCTTAATTATAATTTTTTCCCAGAAAGCAAGTCACAATAAAAGACAACCCAAATACTATCCCAACTAGACTCTTTCATATCCTCTAACACCATTACAGTGCATGGGGATTTTTGAGTAATTCACAATTTTCTTTTTTTTTTTAATTTGTTTTTTTAATGTTTTATTTATTGTTTTTAATTTTTAATGTTTTTATTTATTTTTGAGATAGAGAGGACAGAGCATGAGCAGGGGAGGGGCAGAGAGAGAGGGAGACATAGAATCCCAAGCAGCTCCAGGCTCCAAGCTGTCAGCACAGAGCCCAATGTGGGGCTGGAACTCATGGAGCTGAGATCATGACTTCAACTCATTTCAGACGGGTAACTGACTGAGCCACCTAGGCACCCCTATGTCTTATTTATTCTTAAGAGAGAGAGAGACAGAGCATGAGTGGGTGAGGGGCAGAGTGAGAGAGGGACACAGAATCTGAAGCAGGCTCCAGGGTGTGAGCTGTCAGCACAGACTCCGATGCAGGGCTCGAATCCACAAGCTGTGAGATCATGACCTGAGCTGAAGTCGGACGCCCAACCAAGCCACCCAGGTGCCCCTTCACAATTTTCTAATTTAAAATTATCATGACAGTCAGTGAATGTGGAATAACTTTTCAGTAACATTTCAGGAAAAATAGGTCTGATATTCAATTATATTCCTGTTTTATTTTGCTGTTTTTCTAAGCTCATTAAAAGTTTGCAAGAGTCTGCTACTATCAGGCATTGTCTCTAGTTGAATCAGGCACAGTAGGCTAATGTACATTGTCATTACTCTCAGTTCCAAAATCATAATGACTTTTAACATTAAATGTTCACTTCTTGCTATGTGTCCATCACAGTTTGGCTATGTGCTCCAAGCTTCTTCACCCAGCAATCAAGGCCACTGGGTGCCCACCATCAGAAGCATTGTGGGTGGTTATGGCAGTGGGAAGAAAAAGTGAATAATTGGCCCTTATAGATGCCTGCTCAGCAGTGGCACATGCTATGTCCAATAACTTGAGAATGACCTATCAACTAGCACACTGATTAATTTCTTGGAACGTTTATTACATACTTGTTGCCATGAGTCGGCACATAGTACTTTGTCTTCCTGTTCCCTTTCTGATCTCTTTACCAGTTTTGAATAATTTTGTAAGTGTATTAAGACCATTGTTTTTGGGGATTCTTGGGTGGCCCAGTCAGTTATGCTTCCAACTCTTGGTTTCGGTTCAGGTCATGATCTCATGGTATTGTGGGTTCAGGCCCTGTATCTGTCTCTGTGATGGCAGGGTGAGGCCTGCTTGGGACTCTCTCTCTCCCCCTGTCTTTCTCTGCCCCTCCCCCACACATGCTGTCTCTGTGTTTCTCAAAATAAATAAATAAACTTTAAAAAAAAACTTAGAAGACCATTGATTTTTAAAAACTGTGTAGTTGGCTTGCTTTGTAAATTGAAGAGTTAAATGGTCAAATAGCTATCCATTCCTATTTGTTATACTGTTTAGGTGGCTCATTGAAAGAATTGATTAACAGCATCAAAAAAAAAAAGTAAACATCTTAGTCAATAACACTAGGATAAATAGCATTACAGTTTGTCATATTTTCAATGTGATTTAAATCTAGTTTAAGTCCTCGATGATTGACATTTCGATCCAGTTTAATTCTATCAGAGTGCCCATGTAGTACCTGTGAATATTTGCAGTTCTCCTATTGTTAAGCTAGTAGTTAGAGTTTATTATGATTATTTGAAACTAATATAATTCAAGGAAAAACTTTGGCTATTTAAAGGAGGTCAGAAGATTACAAATGTACATTTTCATGAAGGCAGCTACAAATTTTTCGTCCATAGAAGAAAGATCTTGTGGACATTCCCTGGTATTTAAGCTTTCAGCAAATGGCATTAAAATTCAGATTCCATATTGCTTGTTCTTTTACATTGAAGCAGATGTCAGTTTCATATGGATTCTGAATATCATCCAATCTGTTCTTCAAATATAATTGTAATTACTGGTCAATGGTTTTGGATAATTTATACATCTGCTGAAATCGTGGAGGTTTTATCAATTGTTTTGACTTAGAGTTTGTTCCCTTCAGAAAGCTGAGGATCTGGAACTACATGACTTTGGATTAAGTCACCTCTACCCCCAAGAATAGCCACATGTCCTTACGTATTCTGGGTGTAGATGATCTGAACTGTTGTTGCTCACAAGGCCTAATAGAAGATTCAGGTACAAAAAGGGTATTCCTTCCATGTAGGGAAGACTTTGTGTGCCAGTTTGTGAAGGCACTTTGTGTGTGCCTGTTTGTGAAAGGCAAAAAGAGGTAGTTGACAAAAGATGTAAAGCTTAAATTAAGCTCTAGATGGCTAGAATAAAGTTAATATTTTTCCTTGGTTATAAGGGATTGTGCAAGTTGTTAAAACCAACTTCCACCCAGTTTTAAGACACCTGAGGTATAGTTCTCAAGCTTTAAGCTAGGTATGATGCATGTGATTTCAATAATGAACTTCTTTCTGGGGTTCCTGGATGTCTCAGTGGGTTGATTTTGGCTTAGGTCATGATCTCACAGTTTGTGAGATTGGGCCCTACGTCCCGTTCCATGCTGACAGTGGAGCCTGCTTGGGATTCTCTCTCTCCCTCTCTCTGCCCGCATGTGCCCCCTCTCTCAAAATAAATATTTGAAAAAGAAAAAATAAATAAATTTATTTTCTTTCACTTGAAAACTTTCTAAACGAAATGAAAGCAGCAAGTGTCATTTGTTATTACCTCTCTTCTTTCATTATTAGTAGAACACTACTACTGTTAGTATATTACTACTACTCCTAATCCATATTTTACCAACATAATATGCAATGCTGGCCAATAGTTTGGGAGAATTTACACATTGGCTGAAGCTGGAGAGGGTTTTTGTTTTGTTTTGTTTTATTTATTTAAAATTTGTAGCCTCCAAAAAGCTTAGGGTTTTGAACCAAATTAGCTCGTGTTTCTAGTGATAGTCATGTATTATATGTTCTACATTTATTACGTCATGTATGCTTCGCAACAGATCGCTAAGGCAGGTGTGAGACGTCCCACGTTTTATAAAAGAGAAGACTGAGATTTAAAAAGGTTAAGAAAACTGTCAAAATCATTCAAATTTTGAATTTAGGCTGCCTGATTATAAAGCCCTCTCTTTTGAACACCCTGTTATAGCTGTCTTTCTCCCCACCCTCCCCCCAAATCCTCATCCTTACATTGGCATTCTTACCTGTAATACAAATTACATGTAGTGTTGGAATGATTAATTAGATCTGCTGTTTATATCCTTGCCAAATCACCAGAATCAAAGATTATCAATGAGATTTTCTGGATATTAATATGGTTTTCATTATTTTTCACACCGAGATTTAAAATCTAGGACCTAATGAGAGGATTATATCAGAAGTTCTTGTGTTTGTTCTGTTTGCTACTGTGCAGTGGTCCTGTAGCATGCTGGAACACAAGGGCACTAACCATCTTCTACCTTCCTAGTAGAATGTTCAGTCTAGATATCAGCTTGTTTTCCATTTGACAGTCTTCTACTCCCCCCAACATGTGGATGAAACATGATTCTCTGAAGGTTATATTATCACATGGACGAGCAGTTTGAAAGGTTTGCATTAAAAGTATTCAAATGTAGGGCACCTGGTTGGCTCAGTCAGTAGAGCATGTGACTCTTAATCTTAGGGTTGTGTGTTCAAGCCCCACATTGGATATAGAGATTGTTCAAAATTAAAATAAAAAAAATCAAATATGGGTTATAGATAATTTTATCCTGAATTTTCTCTATTAAAGACACATCCCTGGGGCGCCTGGGTAGTAGCCGGTAAAGTTAAGTGTCCGACTTTGGCTCAGGTCATGATCTCATGCGTGGTTCAAGCCCCAGCGTGCAGGCTCTGTGTATAGCACGACAGCTCGACCTGGAGCCTGCACCTAAGTGCCAACTCATGTGTCTCCCACCTCTCTCCTGACCTCCCATTCATGCTCTGTCTCTGTCTGTCTCAAAAATAAATAAAACATTAAAAATATTTTTTTTTTAAAAGGCATCCCTTTGTGTGGACAGATTCTGTTCAATTTCTACTGTTGTTCCTATTGTGGGGGCTGTTGTTGATGATGATATTATTTTGGAAGACTTTGTGATGTGTTCAAATTAAGACTCTCTCTTGAACCCTCAAACACACATTGATTATTATTGCTATGCTATTAAGGAAAGATTTGCCAGCAAAGAGTGGGGCATAGCAAGATGTGTTCCATTAATCAATTCAAGGGAATTTTGCCTTCCTTTCCTTTCATCAGGGTATTAGTGAGTCAGGATGGATGGAATCAGAAAGATTCTCTAGAGATTATCTTATTGATGACCAAGTCCATTTTTGTAAAAGACCCCATATTGAAGCTCTTAAGCCATCTGTTGGCTGTTACTAAAATGGCATCTGATACAGTTTATCAGTCTCTTAAGTATGCAAAGAGTTAGTAAAACCCAAATCAATTTTGTGGTATAAAAAATAGATGAAATAGATGAAAAATTGTTGTAGAAAAAACAGATATAAAAGCTTAAATACCAGTACTATGTAATTTCTAAATGATAATTTGATACTGATATGATAAGGAAGGAAAGTGCCATTAATAATTGAAAACAATGCAAATTTGTGCACTAAATAAAAAGAAACAGAAAGCAGGAAAATAATACGACACTTAGGTCCTCAGCTATTATTCTATAGCATGAAAGTATTTTATTTTTTTCAGTATGAAAGTATTTTTTAAAAACTTCCTAATATGTTGGTATTTTTTTCTTTTTCTTCTTTCTTGTTTGGTTTGCTTTATATGTTTCTGGAACCAGATTTATATTTTTGAAAATAATATCTACTATCAACCTGATATAAAGAGCAGTTCATTGCGGCTGACATCTTCTGGAAAAGAAGGAATTATTTTTAATGGGATTGCTGACTGGTTATATGAAGGTGAGTTGAATAGATTTAGTTTCAGAAGAACACAATTGACATATTTTTATACAAAATCTGTAAAAGAACTCTATTCATTCTAGAACAAGACTTAGAGCTCCATTTCTTCTTATTTTCACTCAAAATTGCCTTCATGATTTCATGTCTTTGCATGCACTCGTATTTTGACTGGTTGTGATTCATGTCTACTAATATGATTCCACATTTGGTGTGTATGTGTACACATACACATACATTTTGTTCAGATTAGATAGATTTTATTTTGGTGATGCTTAACTAATGAAAGTGAATGATCACCTTATGTCACCCTGGAATTCGATTCTGAATTTTTCTGACTGTGGAAAAGAAGAAACAAAAACCTTTACTGTTGAAAAAGTACTTGAAAGCCACTTGATTTTAGTCATTCCCATTAAGAACAGTCTGTCACATTTTAAAAGCCATTGCATGGGGAGCAAAATAAAACCCACCTAAAGAGTTATTTGCCGTTGTTGTTGAATCAAGTTTTCATGAGAGTTAAGAATATAAAAAGGAATCAGGTAATGAAAATATCTATCCAATTTTAGCATCCACCAATTGTCAGCTAGGTTATAGGCACAGATTTCCTGGGGAAGATTCAAAGCTTGAGGTTAATACCTAGGTTTCAGACTCCACAACTGATCTTGGCAAAACACCGAGATTTAAACTAAATTAGTTGTATTTGATTAGAAATTATAAAGCTAAGGCTCTTCTAGAAAATAAATTTTATTTATTGAGCAATACTGCCAAATGCAATCTTTCTACCTCAGAGTCGATATTTTTAATTCTGTAAGAAAAGTAAATCACTTACCTCATTCTCTTGTTCATCCAGTCTATCATTAAACAGATATTATTAAAGACTTACTACTTTCCAAGTATTTGTAAGGGTGCTCAGATACATCAGGGAACTAAACAAAGTATACTTTGAGGACCTTACATTAAGAGAAACATTTTGCCGGGTGTAGCTATTTTATTAATGAAGAGACATTGTAACCTTTGAAATTTATATGCATATGTGCACATGTATATCTATATCTATGTTTTTTATATATATGCTAGCATCAAATAATAAAATATTTTAGAGACCACAGTTTATTCTGAGGAGTAGTGGAAGCTACTTTGGAAATATCAATAATAATTACGGTATGAAATTTAAAAAAATCAAATACGCAGAGTAATAAGTAGGTTTCTTTGGTTCAGAGTGTCAGAAGCTGACAAAAAGGTAAGTTATTGGTGGGGCCTGAGATGGCCCAATGAATTAAAGAAACATCTGGAGAACAAACTTGAAACTTGGGTAGTTCCAGGAATCTAGTTAGCAAGAACTAACCATCTTTTATGTAAAGGAGCTGGGTAAGAGATGCCCTTTATCTTCAAAATATTGTCAGTACTGTGTGAGACCCTGAGGGATGAAGAGACTATGTTAGTGCAGCGTGGTAAACGGTCAAATCACAGTAAACATAGGATTCTATAAGAACAAAGAAGATTTAGCCCATTCTAGGCATTTGCAAACATTTTCCTAAAGGAGAAACCCTCTGAGTTGACACTGAAAGATTAACAAAGAAGAAAGTAGGTAAGAAACAGCCCAAGTATTCATCAATTGATGAGTGGATAAAGAAGAGGTGGTGTGTATATACAATGGAATATTACTCAGACATTAAAATGAATGAAATCCTGCCATTTGCAATGACATGGATGGAGCTAGAGAGTATTTTGCTAAGCTAAGTAAGTCAGTCAGAGAAAGACAAATACCATATGACTTCACCTATATGTGGAATTTAAGAAACAAAACAAATGAACAGAAGAAAGAGAGAGAGAGAGAGAGAGGCAAACCAAGAAACTCTTATCTCGCTCTTAACCATAGAGAACAAACTGATGGTTACCAAGGGGGAGGTGGGTTGGGGAGTGGGTTAAATAAGTGGTGGGAATTAAGGAGTACACTTGTGATGAGCACTAGATGTATGGAAGTATTGAATCACTGTATTGCATACCTGAAACTAACATTACACTCTACGTTAACTAAACTGGAATTGAAATTAAAATACTTTAAAAAGAAGAAGTTAGGGAAATGTAAGCAACAGTTTGCAAAAGCATAGCAAAGTTAAATAGCTCCATGTGCACCTTGGGAACTCAAATATGCTTGATATTATTGGGGCATAAAATTTGAGAAAAAGGAAGACAGCAAGAACCAAGGGATGGTGACCCTAAAAATAATCCAGGATTTTGATTATTTTTTCACCTCATAAAGGGGGAAACTAATAGAGCTTTTCAAGTAAGGGAGTGTCAGCATTAGATCTTCCATATAAATAGGCCATTTTGAGTACAGAGTAAAGCTGGGATCAAATAGCAGAAAGAACCAGTGAGCAGCTGGGGGGCTTTTTCTATGTTCCATCAAGAGATAATGAGCAATAGTACCGGGGTTAAAGCAGTAAGAAGGAGGGGAGATTCTAAAATTGACAAGGCAGCAAAATAGATCTTAGTGGTTAAAAGGATGGAGTAGATGAGAAGTCAAGAATGATTTTTTGGCTTCTGGTTTGGGTCGCTAGTAAACAGTGGTGACAGACCCAGTGAGCAGGCATTCCTAGTGATGCATACATCAGGGATGCAAAACTTAATTTAGTGGGAACATTGGTGCCTCACAGTGTGCTAGCATTCTACCTTGGGTAACAAAATGTGATCCAAGGAACTTCTAAGTCAACTCAGTGTAGAATGTACTGACTTGACCACTGAACAAGATGATTTGGGTCTCTATCCTTTACATAGGATATGTCATATTGCGTGACTTTGTGTAATTTTTGGCATTACATTTTTAAGAAAATTGACAAAAGAGAAATTAAAGACCATTATCTTACAAATAAGGTTATTTTCTTAATTAAAGAATGAAATTATATATATTCCAGTAGAGAGTGAACACTGTGTCAGAGACAGGAAAGACAAAGAAATAACAAAAGTCTTCAGTAATAAGTCTGTAGGCCTGACACTTTCCAAAAAAGAAATTGAAAAATTAGAGTTTTTGCCATTCAAATGAAACTCAGTCCCTTGGCTCTTATACTTATCTTATCTTATCTTATCTTATCTTATCTTAGGCATACTAGCAAATTCCAAATGTGCTATGTGATTGAATCCTCACAGTACTAGCATATTTATTCCTTTACAGAAGAAACCAAGACTCAGGGATAGGTGAGTTGGACGTGGCCTCAAAGTTCATGAGTGCCAGAGGTGGCACTTGAATATGTGTCCTCAAATCCAGTGCTTAGTCCTGATCCACTTTACTTGTTTCACTTCATTGCCTTTCATCATTCCCTAAGGAATGGCATACATTATGGACCTGAGCCATTAGATTTCCCTGGTCTATTTCCTCAAGCAAAGACTCTGACCACAGACTTACCTCAGTCCTCACTTTACTTCCAAGAGAAGGAACTATACCAAGGGAATCAATGTTAAGGTTTGACAGAGGGATTTAGGCCATTCAGATGTCATTAATGTTTCCCTCAATATTTTGCCTGTCATCCCCAACCTGTATTTCAAGAGCCACACACTACCTTCACTTTCTTCTATCACTTTGCTTTTCCAAGATTCCATCAGCTCCCAGATTCCAAACCTTCTCTTTTCCCTTCAGTACACCCACCACAGCACAGTGATCTTCAGCAGTATGTATGTGACATTCTAGTGTGGAGATTTCCTTCTTGTAACTTTACAGAAATCAATTACAATCTGAATAGTGTGTGTGGGAGACTCCAGAAGTAACATGTAACATTTCCACCTTGTTTATTGAAATTTGCCTTTAGCAAATATCATAGGGGAAAAAAAAAGATTCAAGAAGGAGTCACATAAAGGATAATAAAATGTTTTCGTGGCACATTTAAGGGCATGGCTTAAACTTTTTAAGTCTAGGCCAATCTGTGAGTGTGGCTGTTAATCCCAACCAAAGGCACTTATGTCGAGATTTTAAGTCTTTAAAAGTGTAATTTTAAAGCCTCTTTGTATTTGTAGTATTGTTCAATTCCTAAGGAAAGTCAAGGAAAATAAAATATGTGTTTTAAAGAGTTGAAGTTCAGAAGAAAAATAAAACATCATGCTCAAAATGAAGTATCATTTTAAACATAATTCACACAAAATGCATCTAATGTTATTCATATAAATTGGCTCACTTAACATAGTAACTTAACTACATAAAATATCACATGAATGTTTTGCTAAAAAAACCCTAAAGTTCACAGCTGCCAAGTTTACAGTGAAAAACTGTAAACAACTATTATATAAGGAACCATTTGAGCACGGTCAATAGATATATAAATAAAAGTAGAATTAATTCTAATAGGATAGAGGAATATAGAGTCACTTAATAGAAGAAATGGTCTGTGCATTGAGCTTTAAGAATGACAAGAAGAAAGAAGTGAGAGAAAAAATTCACGGCATTAACAATACCCTTTCAAGAGATGGAAATCGGTACATTTTTGGTTGCTCACTGAGAATAACACAAAATGCCTATTTTTGCTTTTTTTCCTTCCTTGGATACAGGACGTCTCATTCATCCATTCATTGATTTAACAAATGTTTATTGAGCACTTACTAACTCTCAGTAAAACTGGACTATGGCAGATAAGAGAAAAAAATTAGAGGGGCAGCCATGGAAGCCAGAGGAACACAGAATAACAATGCTGATTCTCTGGAAGTCAAATAAGCTAAGGATTCCACAGTTACTGTTGGATTTGCTACCAGAAATTGATGAAAGCAAAATCAGTCAATTTGTGGTACCAGAAGCAGGACAGCAGTGGATAGAGGTGTAAATGGGAAGAGAAAAGTTTATGAATATAGACAACTCTTTGAAGAAACTTGACAGTGAGATACAGGAAATAAAGGGGAAAAGTCATCCATAGACCCCTATGGCTGGCAGTGGCATACTCAGGAAATCTTATCTGTTTAAATTGATACACCACAAATAGATGAAATCAGCTTACTTTTCAGAATAGCATGTTAATCTGAAC